TTGTCTCTCTGTGCACACGCTGGTAGCTGTTCGGTACATGTTTCTCACAAGCGCCCTTTTCGTGTGAGAGGGATGAGAGGAGAGGTAATGAACTAGGATGCTTTTACTACTTGGCTTTCGATACCACTTCGTAATGTAGCCGTTTTTTGATAGGCTAATTTGCACGTTCAGAAATGGAAGCCAGTCTTCTTTTGGTTTCTCTCGGGTGAATTTAATATACTCTGACTGTTCAGTGGGTTCAGATGGTGAGAAAAAAAATTTCCATTTCCATTTCTAAGGTAACCTTGCGTAGGGTCGCATGTAGTTTACATGAACTTCAAGATAGACTCCGCAAAAAAAGCTAGAGATGAAGCGCAACGCTTTTCTTTTACGCAGAAGTTGAGGACAGAGAATGACCACGCAATGTGGTTGGATCACGTTTGAGGCTACGTGATAGGTAACAAATGGGTGTAGGGTGAAACCTAGCCTACAAATATTTTGTAACGAATTTCTTGATCCATGGATTTCAGAGGTACCGCCGTACAATTGTTCGTCGATCTTCCTGCTTTGTTTCTCTCGCAGGGAAATTACATAAAATTTGATTCAACTTGCGGTTTTAAGAAGATCAGCTTCTGCGGGGACTATTCTAGTCACAAGCGCTCAGCGTGAAATGTTCTCCATGGCGTTCCATTTTATTGTCGGACATGTTTTTTTGGTTCGATTCGAACGACGTCTCGTGTAACCCGACATTTAGTCGCCTCTCAGCAGCTGTTTGCGTCATAGGCTGGAGTGTTCAATGTGGAAGGTCCTGAAGCTGATTTATTACTGGTCGAGCTTTTGTGCTTCCATGGAGACCCGAAGTAACCGAATGTTTCTCTTGTCATCACACCAAGCAGTCATCAGTCTTTTTGGATGGGAATGTGATTTACCGCGTTGTTGCAGGTTCACCACTGATACTCCATTAGAATTTGGCTACGCTACTGATGCCGGTTTACTTCTAGCAGAACTTTCGTTTTTTCTGGGTTTGGGAGAACTTACTGTTTCCCAATCCTGGCTGTACATCGGCATTTGACACCCGCAAACATTCCGAGCCATTGTTAAGAAGTAAAACCACTTGGGAATTTGGTCTTTCAGAAAAGGAAGCTTGAAAACTTTGAAACTCATGGTTTTCAATCAAGGATGATGTTTATCTATAGAGAATTTCGTTCTTTTAATTAAGAAGGTAATTTGTGTACTCACCACTTTTTACTACCGTTTATTTCTTACGCTTTCGCTTTCTAGTACTTAAACACACTACGTATTTATAGAGAGATCTTTAGGTCATTATAATACACTAAGCTATTTAAGGAATTTGCCCTGGATGCCACGCGTAGATTTCTTCACCTTTCTACCTGATGCGTCGGCAGACGCAGTTGATTTGTTAGCACGGATGTTGGCTCTGGATCCCGATTATAGGTATACAAGTTCTATTAGAATAATAAAAAGTAGGGTGTAGGATTGGATGCTTGTTGAAGTTTCTAGCATTCCGTTTTTTTTTCTCAATTAGCTCTTGGTACCGAGCATAATCGCCGGTCAAAGATTTCGTGACGATGTATTGTCAACCTGTCAGCGATCTTTGTGTGCCGTTGACGTCTTGTATAATACAGTTACTGAGGATTCATGTAGCTGTTTTAAAATGACTCGCGTTCCAGTTCTACGTGATTGTCAACAGCTTCATAGTTTGTTCCATCAACGAACTCACTCTCCAATTTGGGTAATGTGGGATTCTGTTGCCACCACTCTTTTTTCAGCGCGTTAAGAGACCATTTAGCACATTTTCATTGGGCTTGTATGTCATTCAAGATTTCGGTATAGGATGAAGCAGGAGTAATACTGAAGTAATACAAGGTGCACGCAGAGCTGGGTGTAATGTAAGAAAGAAATCCGTTTATTATGATCATCGCTTTTTTTTAGGTTTAACCGTTAAACAGCTGTACATGCGCCATCAAAATATATCACTGTTCTTGTTACTGCTTACTGCTGTAAGATTATCATTAAGAGAACAAAGTTGGTGTAGCTGCTAGTCATCAACCTTTATCTCCACGTCGTCCTACTCCGACTTTGGAAAAGTGTTTAGAAATTCTTACCGTGAGCTTGCTTTGTATCAGTGGAGTTAATTTGTATGCAGAGTAAACACCCCTTGGTTATCCTGACGTCTTCCACTATCACTTCTATCTCAGTCGATTCTGAGGCTTTCGTCAGGTTAAAGGGTATTATACTGTCATCTTATCTGTTTTTAGTAGTTTTTTCTTTCTGAAATCCTGATTTCTGCTTCCGCTTATTTGTCGGCTTCATCAGTCCCAGTTTGATTCACCAAATGGCTTGCAGGTGCCATGTGCTGGACTGATTAGGCAACAACAACCAATGTTTTCTAGTTTTCACATATTGTATAACGGTGTGGTTTCTCAGTTTACCAGCACTACATTCTTTTAAATGTCGTCTGATGGACCATACCAGTGTTTTGAATATTGCTTGTGGTAGGTTCTCCTAATTTTCAAGTCCTCTCATGTCGAAAATGATTGCTACACTCCCCCTCCTCTTTCCTTCCTTTCTCCTCCTCCCTCCTCGTCCTCCCTCCATCTCTCTTCTTTACCATAGAAAATTGCACTCGGAAAAAGAGAATCACTGGTTCTGTAGAATCGATCTTTCCGAGGATCGTATGAAGACGAAGGAGCGTACTGTTTCAAGAATTCGGAGTATGCTAGTAGTTGACCTTTTGATTGCACTTTAGTATACAATCATTATTTGGTCTGGTCGCGGAAGAGTTACCGTGGCGTTGCAGCTGGCATGGTCCTGACTAGCACTGAGTATTCCCTTTCCAATGTCTGTAGCTTCAGCAAAATTGCAACTTTCCTGTGCGTTATGGTGTTCTTTTATTGCTTCTCTGCTAAGATACACGGTCCTGGACATACGTTGGTAATTGGGCTCGTGCGACTCCACGCTTCAAAATTTCTAAAAGCAACTATTTCTTGTTGACTTTCAGATTAATTGACGGGTGATTGCTGGTGGCACTGGCAGGTAGAAAACTGGCTGAGAGAAAGGTGAAACGAAGGACACGCATGGTGTGGTGGTGAACCTGTTAGTCCCCGCGAGGGGTGAAAGCACGTCCGATCCCCACCGCAGACACCGGCGGTCCGGAGTTTTGCAAATATCTCATCACCGTTGTGGTTGTATCACACAAGATACTCTGACGTTAGAAATTGTAGTAGGCAGTAAATAAAAAAGTTAACATATGAAATTAATGTTTTTCTTAGCACACTAGAAAAGTTGGGTGAGCCGGTTGTATTGCTTATCTATGTCGTTGTTAGCGGTATCTTTGAAGGAATTGATAACGAAAGGAATAAATTCTACTTAAAGTGGTTTTGCGATATCTTCTGAAGAATTTTGCGGCTTTCCCTCTTTTCTGAGCAAGAACTATTCTTATGCGAAAGAGTAGAAGATTAGACCTTGTTCTGAACTTCTGGAGAACAGCGGCATGGACTGAGCAAAGCATTCAATTTACCGCGATGATGTCTGATTCATTACGTGTTCTTTGCCAGATCTCTTGTGTCAAATATCAGATGTAGACCTTTGCATTACAAATGAGTTAGTTGTCTCGTGTTTTGAGGAATAGTGTTTCTCCAGTGCGATTGATGACGCTTGTTGGCCGGTCCCTGCTCTGTGTGTTAACGTCGTACCTGGTCATAGTCTGCATCAATAGATCTTCAGTATGAGTTCGCGAACTTTCTCCGGGGAATCGTACTTTCGCCTTTACTGTTTTTGACGAGAGAAATCTATAAATGGTTCGTCCTATTTTGGGTATTCTTTGTAGTATCGTTAGCTATCGTGTGACTCTTCTTACATTAGCTCTTTCTGTGCGCCTAACCTGTGCACTCAGTTACTCTTGCTCAAAGGACATCAAGTGCATTATAGTTTTCTTAAAAAGGCATTCATTTCTACTCGTTTTGGACGGTGGACAACTTTCCGTAGTTGTTCTCGTGCTCTTCCATTGGAGAAATCCTAGTTTTTGCCGAACTCACCTACAGTGTAGAATTCGTCTACACACAAGTACCACAATTCGCAAATCCATGAATTTGTTTTATATAAACTCAGGTTGTATAAATAATTCTGGCGTCTTATTGACAGAAAATCCATTGAACCCACTTATCCCTCAGATAGTGCAAGTACAATGACGCTTTTGTACAGGATACACTGCACTCTGTTAGTAAACCAGTTCGAGAGAACTCACGATGGACATCCACACCAAACAGTTTAGTGTGAGGATCCGGGACTGTAAAATTTGTTTCATTAATTAGAGCTGTTCCACACACTATTTGGAAACCAGTATTCTGCTTATAGGGTTGCTCTTCTTGCTGAATGGGCTTTATACTTTTGTTTTCATGATGATACCACGAAGAAATTAATAAATGCATTTTGCAAGAAAAAGGCAGTCAGTAAGAGCATTAGTTAATTTCAACCATATAGAATTGGCGGATTTCAGTTGAATGCTTATTACAAGTTTATATAATTTCGAAATCACATTATTTTCTACTGCTTAGAAGTGCTATAGTGAGCGCGTGTAGCGCACTGGTCGGTGGGGTCTTCAAATACACATGGGATCGATCACCGCGCTCCAGGCCCACCAAGCCCTCCATCCTTTGGGGTCGACAGATTGGTACCAGACCTATCTGGGAGGATAGCACCGACTCGATACATCGGTAGTCCACCGCAAGTCATTGTGAAGGCCAGAAATACATTCAATCACCTACAAAGATGCTCAGCGAAGTTGAATGCATGGTGCATCCCTCGGGTTTTGTCAACGTCGAGAAATTTTCCCTTTACTTTTCCTTAGTATTACTATGAATGTGTAACGATTTTATGGTTTTTCCCAACATGAGAAATCACTTTTCTTGCTCATGAATGGAATAATTGGTTAATTTTTTTTATTTTACTTAACATACTCACAGAGTTGGTTAGAATTTGTCGAACTTCGATTAAAGGTAATGAAATCGATTCCTAGAATATCTGTGGTCGAAGCTTTAGACCATCCATATGTTCAAGATTGTCGCGATCCGGAAGGTGAACCAGTCGCCGACCACCAAGTAGGTATAGATGCGGAAGAAGAATCTGCTACCTTGTTAGATGATTGGAGGGGTAAATTTCACTCAAACTTTCCTTGCAGTTTCATTGTCTCGTATTTTCATATTTTTTTAAAAATCGCATTTAGAGTTGATATGGAAGGAAATTCAAAATTTTCGTCTATGCTCTCGTAGTGGGAACTACTTGAACGAAAATCCCACAAGAGATAGTGGAGTTGGAAAAGAACCTTCACAGTTTTTAACTAAGGACGATGTCGATGACGATGTGGTTGTAAGGATAGTACTTTGATTGTTACCATTCATAAGTTTGTTTACTTACCCGAGTTAGCGTTAGGCACATAGCAGCACTTGCTTTGTTTAATGCTTTCTAGTGTTTACATATTTTACTTATAGAGTATATTCGTCTGTTGCTCTTCAGTTAGTATTTCTATTGTGCACTGTTAAGCGCAGAAGTAATTAAAGCGATAGAAATGATTTCGTAAGGATTTTTGAAAACTGCCGTTAATAATTGTATCGTGTTTTTAAGCAGTCTTTTAGATTTTGAGAAATACCTTGAGGAGTTTTACATTCATCATTTGCCATAGGAAAATGTTCTGCAATATTTTAAGTATTAGGGACGGATATCTTTGGAAGGTTTCCTTCATATTCTCTTGCTCTGAGGTCTGCAGTCAGTCTACTTAGTGTTTAGAAGCTCTTTTTCGCACTGTTTTTGGCGGAATTTGTAGAGTTGTTTGTAAACAGTGTATGTAAAAAGTAATCATTTATACTTAACTCTTTAAATCTTGGAATATGACTCATTAAAGATTGTCTCTGTAATTTTATACTTTCTATCATTTTTTTGAGATTTGTACAAAGTTACCGTAGTTTCATAGATATATTAGATTCGGATACGTTCTTTGTTAAAATTTGTACAAAAGAACTGAGTTACGTCAGTACTCTAGTACTGACGTGACTCAGTTCTTCTGTACAAGTTTTGTATTTATCGAGATTCTTTGCACTCCAGCTAATGCATTCCGTCCAATTCGTACCGAATTCTCATTGAATATTTCGTTCATTATCATTCCTGTAACCGTGTCATTAGTATTCAGCTACTGCTTTATCATGACAATCCTCTTACTCGTAAATATTTTCTTCTAGTCGGTTGACATTTGATCTCCATAAACAAAGTACTGGTTATCCATGTTTCTCTGATCTCATTTCAAAGTACTCGGTGATAATTTACCTGCACAATAAACTTTCAAGGAGTAGTTTTCACGTAAAAATTTGGTCTAAGGTATTACCGTACCATCGAAACTCTTTTTTAAAGACCCGTGGAAGTTTCTCGATTTGCGGCTTTTGTCAGTGTTTTGTTTTCTTTTTTCCCCATCTCAGTCATTTTTTCTGTTATCATTTTTCTACTGTTTTATTTTAAGTTTTCACTATAGGATGGAAGGGGAACCGAGGGAAATGAAGCCAGGGTACTACACAGTCGAGTTAAATAGAACAATTTGGGCAGTGCCAGTCTATTATCAAAATCTGACACCTGTTGGGACTGGAGCGTACGGAACTGTGTGGTATTTAATTTCGAAATATTTCGTGATTTTAACCCTTTTTATTTACTGCCTTTTTCTTTTTAATGGCAGGGTATGTTGCGAAATATAACTCGTATATGATGCTGAGATATTTGCAAAACTCCGGACCGCAGGTGTATGCGGTGGGGAACGAATGCGCGCTATTGTCCTTAACGGGAGCAGCGCACTTCACCACCACACCATCCGGGTCCTTTGTTTTGCCTGTCTCTCAGCTAGTTCTATCGATCATTTTGCCATCAGCAATCACCCATCAACGGGATTGATCTGGGGAGCTCAAATCGGCATTGAACCCAGTTAAGCTGAGGCTTAGTTATAATCACAATCTTAGCCCTTTTTATGTAGGGTTTAGGGTAGGGAGTTTTGCAAATATATCAGCATCATATACGAGTTATATTTCGTGGTTTTTTAAAAATAGCATTGGCACAGTTTTCATTGTTCAATTTTTCATTCTTCAAGAGTTTTTATAAAAAAGATACAGTCTAGTTTTACATACCGAATATAGAATTTGGGAGTGGAAATAGGTAGTGGGCACGGTAGCAGTAATATTTTATATAGTCAGTCTATACTTTCTTGGATACTTGGATGGCTCGCCTTCACTGGTTGTGCGAGCCGCAGCATAATTTCCATTTTCTTGGAATTTTGCTAGTTTATCCATTGTGTTTCCTTGGAGTCTCGTGACCAACCTAGCCATGCTTTGGCCACGTCTTATCACCATACGCAGACGCCACCCTTGTAGATCAGAGGGAGATTTGCTGCTATGCGACTAGTTTGATAGCAGGACGGTGGTGGATCCTGGCTCTGATTTACTCCTAGCTGGACTTTCTGATAGAACATTGGACTCCTTCTCAGCTTGGGAGACTCTGCTGGAGGGATGATTTACCCCGCAGTATAGCGCAGTTCCCAACACCCAGGAACTCCTACCAGCTACGATCAGGCGGTAAACCATTGGCAGGATAGTTAGTCTTCTCTGTTTCTAATCAATTTTACCTTTTCATGTAGTTGGAGAGAAATCTTGAGGAGGTTCGAAGTGTCAACATCGTACATATGGTGTTGTGCAGTATTAGATTGTCCCACATTAATTCATTGTAGGAAACAAATATTATACAAATGAATGAGTCAGAACTGTTTGTTTTCCATTACAAAAATTCGTTGCCTTTAAAGTGCTGCGGAATGCCTACGAACGAATACTCGTGTGGCCATCAAGAAGTTCAGTCGGCCATTTCAATCAGTTATTCATGCAAGAAGGACGTACAGGTATAAAACAGTTTGTATAATCCGCAATATTGTAGCATAGCATTGTTAGTCAGCTTATTAGTATTCGCCTGTAACATATTGGTTGAAGGTGCCCTGCAATACACATGGAATTCAACACCGAGCCGAAGGCTCACTAGGCCTACCATCCCTCCGGGGTCGGCAGATTAGTACCAGACATGTCTGGGAGGAAGCAGCACTGGCTTGATGCATCGGTAGGCAACCGCGAGTCATTGTAAAGGCCAGATTTGCATTCATTCACTTCCAACGATGCTTAATGAAGTCGAATGAAGGGCGCATTCCTCAGGAATTGATCAGCGCCGACAGTTTAATCCTTTTATGCTGTATGTTAGTATTCGGAATTAATATATTACGACTATTATTAGAATTCTCAAAGTCTTTGAAAAAACGAACTACGTAAAACTATCTGTTCTAGAGAACTAAGGCTTTTACGCAGCATGGATCATGAGAATGTCATCGACATGTTGGATGTATTCACCCCAGATGCGACTTGTGAGCAGCTCACAGATGTGTAAGTAAGGTTTTGTTAAGCAGAACCCAAACTAGCTGCCCTTTGGCGTATGGATGTAGTTTGTTTTAAAATTATCTATTCTTCTTAATGGCTTCTTTAGCGTATCATTATCGTTTGCACTTACTTTAAATTCCATGTGTTATGCTTTCAGTTATTTTGTTTCTATGCTGATGGGTGCTGATTTGTCGAATATTCTGAAAATCCAGCGGCTGAATGATGATCACATTCAATTTCTTATTTATCAAACATTACGAGGTTTAAAGGTGAGAGCTTTTGTATGATTTGCCTGATTTTATTTGTATGGAGAGTTGAAGGCTTTATTTCCCTTCCAGTATATTCACTCGGCCGGTATCATTCATCGTGATTTAAAACCGTCAAACATAGCTGTTAATGAGGATTGCGAGCTAAGGGTATGTTCTTGTTAAGTATATATTTTGTAATTGGACAGTATTCCTTAGTTTTCGTTTTGATCTCGTAATATTGCCTCTCTTTACAGAAGTTAAAGTCTTTAGTTCATCGAATCTACTCTTCATCCTTCATAATTTGAAAGTTGTGGCTTCCTAAATTTCACTATATTGCTGAATTCAAGATTCTGGATTTTGGCCTTGCTCGGCAAACCGACAACGAAATGACAGGTTATGTGGCGACTCGGTGGTATCGTGCTCCAGAAATTATGTTGAATTGGATGCACTACACACAAACAGGTGGGTTGGTGGTGACTGAAGGTTACATCCTTAAACTAATTTACTACATTTTTGGTTTTATGACTGAAAACTTATTGGCTAAATAGCCTCTAATGTTTATCACCTCATGATGGCTAATAGGGTCTCCTAAGTGTCTAACTGCGATATATGGTACGGTGAAGGTTAATAGCCTGAACGAAGTGTAAGAAAATAGGAGAGAGTTTGACGGAACAATTTGAAATCTCTTAACAGGACTCCATTAGGTGTTCCTGTGTGTCGGAGCACTGCGTTGAACGTTAATCACCTCAACGGAGCGTTAAGAAACTGTCTATCTAAAACGTATTATCTGCACAATGCCTCATATGGACGAAGCATTCAAGTTTTTAAATCTTTAGGTGTTGAAGAATACATTGCAGGATTCTGAATCTTTCTTACTAATGATCTTAATTAAATTTTATCTTTTTTCAGTCGATATCTGGTCTGTCGGCTGCATCCTAGCCGAGCTTATCACTGGCAGAACCCTTTTTCCAGGATCTGATCGTTAGTTTATCTTTTTGCGGAGATCTTTATATTCATAAGTATGATGTTGAGTGGATGGAAAATTTTGTAATTCTTCGTAATCTCGTTGAGCAAGCGCGAGGTGTTATTTTCATTCTTTATCCACGAATAAGCTGACGTTTCGGCGGGTTTCGCCTTCCACAGAGCCTGGAAAGGTCAAATTGATAGTAATATATTCGGCTAAACATTTCCATAACCAAACAGAAAAGATGCTAAACCTAGATTTCAACCACATTGAACACAGAATAGCTTCTTTGCACACTCACCGCTTTCTATGAGGCTTCCACTGGGTATGCTGCATGGAGACCAACCGCATAGAATTCACATTTAAGCGTAATATGCCCCTCCTATCAGAATAACAGGCTTATATACTGCCCAATATCACGCATGATAATGAGGCATTCTTCCCTGCGGTTCATTTTGGGATTTCTGGAATTAATCTAGAACGTCTCGAGAGTTTTGCCCGCTTATGTTCTCGATTCTTGTGCGAGGATCGTGACACGTATTTCAAAGCTTTCCCCGTTAGACATAATTCCAGAAATCCGAAGATGAACCGCAGGGAAGAATGCCTCATTATCATGCGTGATATTGGGCAGTATATAAGCCTGTTGTTTTGATGGGAGGGGCACATTACGGTTCCACGTAAATTCTGCGCGGTTGGTCTCCACGCGACATGCTTAGTGGAAGCCTCATAGAAACGGTGAGTGTGCAAAGAAGCTATTCTGTGTTCAATTTGATTGAAATCTTGGTTTAGCGTTCTCTCTGTTTGGTTATGGAGGTGTTTGACTGAATAGATTGCTATCAACTTGACCTTTCCAAGTTTTGAAGAAGGCAAAATCCGCCGAAACGTCAGCTTATTCGTGGATAAAGAATAAAAATAACACCTCGCGCTTGCTCAACAAGAATTCCAAGAATTACTTGGTCAGTGCCGAGGTTAATTGAAAGTCGGTCGTGGGAAAATTCTGTGCTGGAATGATTCTACGAATATTGATTAAAGGCTATGTGCGATAGGAAAGTGAAAGTTATAAGAAATCTGGGTTAAAATTCATGATAACTCTGCTACTGAATATACTGTTAGTAATTAAATCGCAGTTTTTCTTTGCGTTTTATAAAGTGCCGACAGATAGTGCTAGGAGTTCACATTTTCTTCTCGAAGCAGCCGTTTCTCACAAAAAATTCTTTTTCATATTTAAGCTTTTGTCAAATCGTTTTAAACATAATTCTTGGAATTTAGATATCGACCAACTGACCCGAATTATGAACGTTGTTGGTACTCCGAATGAAGAGTTCCTTGCTAAAATTCAATCTGAAGAAGCCAGGAACTATATAAGGTAGAAATTTTATTCAAGGTATTCGAGATGCAGATAATATTGTTTTTTAAATTTTCCATCTCTAGGAATCTTCCGAAGATGCCCCGAAAGGACTTTAAGAGACTCTTTGCAACAGCTAGTCCTGCAGCTATTGACCTGTTAGAGAAAATGCTTCAACTGGATCCAGATTACAGGTGCAGAACATCTGTCTACTGCAGGCTGATAATTAGACTTTGTATATTGGAGGCTGCACCTTCATTTACCTGTCGGTAAAAGGGCTAAATGTGCTACGTTATGACAAGATTTTTATTTAAGGCCAACAGCTGCTGAAGCAATGGAGCACGAGTACCTTGCCGCTTACCATGACGAAACAGACGAACCGATCTCTGAGGAGCTGGATTTAGACGAGGGAGTAGAGTCGACAAATATCGATGAGTGGCGACGGTTGATATGGAATGAAATCGAAGACTTCGCAGTGAGCCTTTTTTTTCTTCTTAAAAACTTTCATTAGCAGCTTCAACTGCAGTTTAGTGCATTTTTGAAATCTAACTTCACTCCTATCTGTGTTTTGTTCAGTAGGTGTTTTCTAGTCTGGGATATTTCTCAGAATGATGGGCCAAGACGAATTCTGTTTAGTTAGCTTTGCATCATCCACACAATGGGAATAAAATCATGTGATTTTAACTCACACATGCCCAAAAGTACCTGCGGCCTTTAACCTTAACTAAACACATCATTTCTTAGTGGGTTTCATCCGTTGGAGCAAAAAGCATTGCAATCTACACATCTTACTCAGCAGAGTGGAAATATTTTTAAATTGTGATTTTTCTTGGTTTTCTTGAGCACATAGAACGCATTTTTTCTTTTTATCGTTGTAACCCATATGGGAGGCCGTGAGCAAAAACGCGTGGGTGATCACGTTGCAGGAGGTTTCTAGAGGATATCTTATTCCATTTAGAGGCGCTCTTTAGTTGAGTTTTCGACGTCGCTAATACATTCACAAATCGTTTCCTGAACGATGTGTGGCGAAATGATCATGTTATAATGTTGACTTTTTTAACTTTTATTTTCTGCCTACTACAATTTTCACGGCAGGGTACTAAGCGAAATACAACCACAACGTTGCTGGGATATTTGCAAAACTCCGGATCGCGGGTGTCTGCAGTGAGGAACGAATGCATTATTGTCCTTTCCGGGGAGTAGCGCGTTCACCACCACACCATGCGGGTCCTTCGTTTTGCCTGTCTTTCAGCTAGTTCTATCGGTTCGGAGTTTTGCAAATATCTCTTTATCACTGTGGTTGTTTCACAAATAATACCCTGCCAGGAAAACTTGTACGTCAGTGAATAAAAAAATCAGCAGTCACCCGTCAACGGGATTGATCTGAGCAGCCCACATCGCACTAACCGATAGAACTAGCTGTGAGACAGGCGAAACGAAGGACATGCATGGTGTGGTGGTGAACATATTAATCCCCGGAAAGGACAATAGCGCGTTCGTTCCCCACCGCAGACACCCGCGGTTCGGAGTTTTGCAAGTATCTCAGCATCATTGTGATCATGTTGTAGAGGGGGAAAATCTAAGATGGTTTTATTTTTCTTTCCATAGTTTTTTAGAAAAATAATTTCCTATTGTTTCATGTTTACTTCACTGCCTTAGTGTCGTAGAAGATGTTAAACGTATTGTATACAGTGTAGCATTTTAAAAATGAGTTGCTCGATTCGATCGGAGCTGTGTAATCCTACTGATGTTTTGTTTTCAGGCACATCAAAGTGTACCTGTTAATGTTTCTCCAAACATGGACGAATAACCGTAATGGACGAGATTCGTTTCCTTACTTTGGTGATACTTTCCTGCTTCTCAGACGTCTCACATAGGAGCCGATCATAGGTGGAATACATTCACTCTAATCACTCTAACAGTCCCATTTCTCTATAGTTTTGGAAATTGATTAGCCATATATATATATATATATATATATATATATATATGGCTAATCAATTTCCAAAACTATAGAGAAATGGGACTGTTAGAGTGATTAGAGTGAATGTATTNATCTGTATATATATATATATATATATATATATATCTACAGATGGACCATGCTATCCAAGGTAACATTTGTATGGAAGAACTTTCTGAAAGAATCACATTGCATTTCTAGGAGCTTGATTCGTTGACACTTTATACATTGAGAGAGTATATTGTAATTTTAATTATTATTAATCGAGTTTATGTCACCATGTTGTGGAGCGCCAAATTGTGGTGGTGACTATAACGAAAGAGTGTCAGGATAACCGATTAGTTTTATAAAAACAAAAGGGATACTGTGTGTCACATCCTTTCCATCCAATCAGAACAGGTCGAACAATTGTTTCGTTTTGTTTTGGTTGACGAATGAGTTTCGCTGTTGTATAGAAGCGCATTATTATTGCCAGAAAGCGATACATACTTAACCCCGTTTTTTTTCTGTGTGCATATTTTTCCTCAAAAGCCTACTGCAAAATGTGTTCTAGACGTGGTTGGCTTTGCGATCACATATAACTTGATTTTGATGCCCGTCTTGTCTTCTTTCCTTAATTGACCTGTAGTATAGGTTTTATTGGTGTTTAAGGGAGGTTGAAGGTGAAATCAAATCTTATGGGGAGTATGAAAACGTTTAAACTTGTCCGATGTACACATTTTGCCAAACCCTGATATCGCGATTTTCTTCGTCGTGGAAACTTGACCTCTCCCTTTTTATTTTAAACATTTTCCCACATTTTTTCCCTACTGTTCTCATTCGAAGTTATATGGTAATAGGCTACTGCCTGGTACTGTAGTTTGTAAAACGCTTGGGGAAAAGTATGTATGCATGGTACTAGTCAAGTTACTGCTCAATACCAGAACGTTTATCGTATGTATTCATGTTTTTCTCCTATACGACTTTATAATACAGCCCGTGCTTGTTTGCTGGGCCAAACATGACCTTTTATAACCACGCGGTCTAGGAATTAGCTAGATAGGTTTATTTAATTGAAATGTAGCTGTTCTTGATCACATTGAGAAGTTTTTACTCCCTAATAGTGTGATAAAAAGCTCGGTTCATATGTTCTTTGATAGCCATAACTACATTGTGGTCAGTACTGTGTGAGATCTGATACTTATCCTAGTCCAGATTACGTTGATTTTATTATAATTGTGATTATTCGAGTATAAATGAATTTACAATGTTTAACGTTTTGTTTTCTGCCTTCTATAATTTTCATGGCAGGTTACTAAGCGAAATACAACCGCAACGTTGCTGAGATATTTGCAAAACTCTGGACCGCAGGTGTCTATGGTGGGGAACGAACGCGCTATTGTCCTTTCCGGGGATAAATGAATTTGAATGAATGAATGTTTGTTTATATTAAATGTTAGTAAATTGCAATCTCTAGTGATGAGGTAGGTGATAGAGCAACTTTTTGTTTTACTCGTTCTTCTGTTTGTTTGCACATCCAATAAAAACGAAGGATTGCTAAATATACAGCGCCTTCCTAGAGGAAGTGGCACATAGTGTTCACGATGATTTATGGGACTCTCACGTGTTTTAGCTTTTTGGCCCTCTTTGCTTGAAGCACAATGTGAAGCCCTAGTTGATCTCTGGTTGTCGGTGTCGTTTGTTGTCAAATTGTCCAGACATGAATCAGGTGTCTGTGGTCGTACTCTAATTAAATCCTTGCTAGATCTTGATAGTACTGAGCAGTTTACAATGGTTGTCGTTACAGTTCAAAAGACGGACGTCCTGTAGACCTCGACATGTATGGAGAGTTTTCTCCACAGCATCTCTTTTATCATTAGTTTGCTATATACATCTACAAGGTGTGCCATCCTTGTCCTACCTCGATACTATGGGGGAAGGCTTCCTCGTCCGGTGGCTCGATAATGAGACCATTTCGGAACCGTTCAGGCGTGGCTATCGCAATACTATTATTTTGGATGCTGACTGCGATTCACCTTCTCTATTTAGACTATTATGTCGCTTTCTCATGAAATTTCTGTAAATGTCACTAACCAAACATCTTATCTGATGCAACTGTTCGTACGCACTTTCTGCGAAACTCGGGTGTTTCGCCGAGCACCTACTCCAGAGTGCATTTAAGTGGACTTATGACCAATTATCCCATTCGTTTGGATGGCATCGTTGCAGTCATCACATACATCTTAATATCATGTGCTAATCACGGTTCTAACAATCACCGTTAAGGTAAACGTACTACAACCTTACATGCTCTACTTTACAATTTTACTACGTTAGCCCCATTTTAGTGTTACTGCAAGGTAAAGTTATGAAAAATTCACATGCGTCTTCTAATATGTCGACCTATCCGCGCTGTTGTTATAAGCTCACACGTTTTCCATATTTTACTATGTTTAGCTTTTGATACCCAAGTCTAGCTCGCTAAGCTCTGGACGTGGGGGCTGGATATACACATTGGTAGCTTTCCAGGGTCTCCTAGAGTAGACATGGAGCTTACTTGTTGCAGGCGACTTCAATCGCATCCCATATACTTCTCTGTCACTTGAATGCAGTCATTGAGCTCGAAACTCACCAAGACGCTTCCGCCTTCGAAAACACTAGAGCTAATACGTCAACATGGAATCGCACGAGCTACAGGCAACCGTCAGTAAACCAATCCAGGCGGGCGGTTAAAGAAGATGTTAGAGAGTGAAGTACGGAGGTTATGATCGAAGCTGCATAGGCTGGGGAGAGCATTCGCAAAGCTCATCGAAAATTTGATAGTTACAAAATCAAGATGAGTGCACTCCGACGCCTTGATGTAACCGTTACAGCCACTACAATGGAAATTATTCACTAATAATACTCGGATCTCTTCAATAGCGACCTCCTGCCTTCACATGAAACAAAGCAGGATGGATATGTTGTCACACCAGTTTTTCCTCCCGAAGTCCAGTAGACTATTTCTTCTATTCTTCTATTCTATTCATTCATCCACACACCCATCCATCCATCCACAATTCCATCCATCCACACCCTCATTTATCCATCCACACATCCGTCCATCCACACACCCATCCGTCCATTTACACATCAATCCATTCATCCATCCAGACATCTATGCATCCATCCACAATCCATCCATTCATCTACAAATCCATCCATCCACATATCGATCCATCCGTCTAAACATCAATCCATTCATCCATCCACAAATCCATCCATCCCCACCCCAATCCATCCATCCACACATCGATCCACCCATCCACACATCTATCCAGTCGTCAATCCACACATCCATTCATCCCTGGATCGATGTGTGGTTGGATGGATGAATGTGTGGATGGATGGATAGATGGACTGATGTGTAAATGGTTGGATGGATGTGTGGATGAATGGATGGGGTTGGGGATGGGTGGATTTGTGGATGGATAGATGGAGGTTGGGATGGATGGATTTGTAGATGGATGTATGGTTGTGTGGATGGATGGATGAATGTGTGGTTGGATGAATGGATTGATGTGTAGATGCATGGGTGGATGTGCGGATGGATTGATTGGGGGTGTGGATGGAGGGATGGATAGATGGGGGTGGGGATGGATGGATTTGTGGGTGGATGGATAGATGGACTGATGTGTAAATGGTTGGATGGATGTGTGGACGAATGTATGGACTGATGTGTAGATGGATGTGTGGATGGATGGATTGGGGTGTGGATGTATCGATTTGTGGATGGATGGATGTGTGGCTGAATGGGTGGGGTTGGGGATGGATGGATGAATGTGTAGATGGATGGATGGATTGATGTGTAAATGGATGGATGTATGTGTGGATGGATGGTTTGGGCTTTGGATGGATCGATTTGTGGTTGGATGGTTTGATGTGTGGATGGATTAATGGGGGTGTGGATGGATGGATCGATGTATGGATAGATAGATGGACGTGTGGATGGACGAATGGGTGCGTGGATGGATGGTATGGATTGATGTGTAGATGGGTAGATCATCCATCCACACATCCATCCATCCATCCTTCGACGCATCTATCCATTCATCCGCACTTCCATCCATCCATCCACACATCAATACATCCATGCACCCATTCGCCCATCCGCACATCATTCCATCCAAGCACACATCGATCCACCCATCCACACATCCATCCATCCACATCTCGTGCTGTATGCCGTTCCTACTTAAATTGTAGGGCATTCTGCGCTCTGTTTTCATTATCATCATTCTTATCCTTATTTTTCTGTGGCTTGTCTGAGGGTGTTTTTGAGTAGTAGGTAAAGTCGTCTGATATCCTTCTTTCTTTTTTTAGCACGAATGCTACGATACAACATGTCTGGTGCAGAACATCGGTAGACGAGTAGAATCCGATGCACTCCTTATTCAACATGTTAAAGTACTGGTTGCATGTTTTATAATAAGATTATGTTTTCGCTTTTCTTTTTCTCATAGTTTAATATTTTTGATTATTAGTTCGCCTATGTTTTTGTAGCGTATACGTAAAATTAGACCTTCCAAACAGAGTAATTGGTGTAGCAAGTGAGCAGGAAGCGCTATGAAGTAGGAGAAATCCCAATATAAAAATAAGTAACTAGTATATATGGAGTTATTCTTTGAAAAAATTCCTATGCGACTGGGTTCTTCTTTCTTTGCTGGTCTCTAATTACCTTTTAGTTCATGATGGTGTGGCCTAATCTCGTGTTGGTGGCATAAATACCCAAATCAATCGCTGCGAAAGGATAAAGAGTAGAGCTTTCGCGTTGATCATTCCCTGAGGGATTCGCAATTAATTCGATTTCATTAAGCGTCGTTGGAGGTGATTGAATGCATATCTGGCCTTTACAATGATTCGCCGTGGCCTACCGATGTATCAAGCCAGTGCTACTATCCTCCCAAACAAGTTTGGTACCAATTTGCCGATCCCGGAAGGATGGAAGGCTTGGTGGGCTATGAACGCAGGTATCGATTCCACGTGTATGCTGCAGGGCGCCTTCGACTACTTACTGCGCCAAATGCCCCCTTTCTCTCATTCCATGGTTTTTGTGCTATTTGACGGTTTTGTACGTAATGTAAAGGTTATTATTCTGCTAGAAATTTAGCTAGAAGCTAAGCTAGTTTAGCTAATAGCTAGAAATTTGAACTGTGTGGTGACACCAGTACTGTCTTGTTATATGGTGTTATTCGAAAAGGTTCACATTTTCTGAACGACTTGATCTCACCCTACTGTTCTGTAGGATATAGTATGGTTCGTGGTGTATTGTCGTCGAAGGTTACTTGTTTTCATGACGACACGCCATCCTGTAGCAGTAGGACTAGTTTTAGCTGGAACGGAGCAAAGTAGTATTCTCAGTGCAGATCTGCATTTGACCTCAGTATTGACAATCAATGTCTCAGTTCATTTATACGTGAGGTAAGAAAATGTTCACAACGGTTGATGAGTAGTTCTGTTTGTATTTGTAAATTCACTTCTAGAAAGACTTGTTCAATGAACCGTTTACATTCAGGTGTGATGAAATCGATTTATCAGTCAATAGCGACTTTTTTCGATGTTTATTCGACCATCGTTTCTACGGTTTCATCTTCATCCTTTGTCAGCTTCACTAAGCCCAACAATATAAGCGCATGTTGATTACTTTACTGCATAGGTTAAATGGCGCTCGATTTCTTTAGAATCTAATCTATTCGACAAATTATGGGGCTGTATGCTAATACATTTGTTACGTTTATTTTGTAAGGTTAACAAATGAAAATAGTTTTTTGACATGAGTGGGGAAGGAAGGTATCAAAGCAGACGGATGGCAAATAATTGAAGAAAGGTAGAAGTATGTGAAATAGTGATTTATCATCGAAGTACGTTGTACTAAGAAGTCAGAGGTAGATCGAAAATCTATCTATGTTTACAAAAAAGATGTGGGGCGGGGTGGAGGTAGATTCAAAATGTCATCGACGTCGAATTTCAAGACACTTCGTGAGCACTGGAGCTTCGGCTTATTTCGGTTCGAATTGGGCCTGAAAATTAAAATGATGTAGAAAAATATAATAAAACAAACAAGTAGTATTATAGATGGTTTGTGAAGAGATGTCTTCACAAACTTTTTAAATCGTGCTAAAAAACACGTTGACTTTTCTGATGGCAAGTAAACGTCCGAACGGTTTATCGCCGCATCTTGGCTGGAAGGTGTTCCTGGATGTCTAGCTGTGAGGTAAAGTGTAGGGTTTCATCCCCCGGCAGAACGTTCCAAGCTGTGAATTGGTTTGACGTTTCTATCAGGAAACTCAGCTAAGAGTAAGCCAATACCAGGATCAACCATCATTCTGGTATCAAACTAGTCGCATGGTGGGAAATATCCCACAGATCCACAAGGGCGGCGACTGCTTGTGGTGGTGACGACTTAGCTCAGAATTAGGTCTAGCCGATCTCGAGGCTCCAAGGAACCATAACAGCTAAACCAGCAAAAGTCCGAAAAATGGAAACTATGCTGGAACCCGTATAACCTGTGAAGATGGGCCATCCAAATACCCAAGTAACATCGCACGTGATTTTTCTTGAAGTGGAGAGATACTAAAATATATTGAAATAATGGGTAGAATGGCAGATTTTTTGCTTCGGTGAAAATACGAAACAGTTTAGAGAGTAGATGTCCTACTGTTTTGGCCATCATGCCATGCATCATTTCGAGACGCATTTTCACATTTTCGTGTTATTAATTTTCCTCACTAACTCGGTTTTTGCTCATTTAAGGTTATTGGAATAAAAGCGGTAAAAACGAAATCTTCCAAAAATGTTTGAATATCAACGTGGAACGTTGTGTTTTGTCTAGCAATCATAAGCGATCGTTCGAGTGCAAAGCTGGTTTCGAGCATGTCATTGCAAAGGCGAGAGTGGTGAAGATGAAGAAAGTCCACGATGGTGATCTGGTTTCCATGATGAATGACTGGAGATGCCAAATGAAACGAATCCATCTACACACGGTACCACAACATGCGCGAGAACGAAGAGGCGAGATTAGGATGTATTTTGGAGGATTTTAAGCAAGTTGGAAAACCAGGAGGAACTCTTGGACCTGGTGCTGAATGAGCCATGATGAATGGAACAGAGGTTACGGTCGTTAAATCGGTTTTACAATTATTTCATTCAGGGAAAACAACCTTTTCATGTCCTTATTGTAACATTTGTCCAAAAAAAACTCGCTTTTCTACGAAAGTCGAGGAAACTCGCACAAGATCGCAAAAATATGAAGTGCCGATACATTTTCCGAGCCAGAATTTACTCCAATACCTAATTTTTTAAGTTCTGGAAAATCCTTTATAGTAATGTTGAAAATGTACAAAATGTAGGTTGGCTTGGCAGTGAGAGAATAGATATCGTCTCCATCTGTTACCATGCGTCAACTGATTTTTTCATTTTCAAATTTTTTCTAATATCTCTGATCGGCAATGATCAATCGAAAGGAAGAATCTACATGACAACGCCACGGACCAATTGTCTTACAACCGCCACTGTAACCTTTGAAGAAATTGAAACATTCAATCCCGGTTTATTCGCCAAAATTCTCTTTCATTAATCAGCTGCCATTTATCCCAGTCATCTTTTAATAATAAATTGCCAAAGGAGTTTTTGAAAACAAAACACTTCTTGGAAGTTTTTAGAAGAGTTCATCAGTTCTGCAAGAGCAGAATTCTGTTGTTAGAAAACACACGACGTGATTAAGCAAAGTAACATTGTGTAGATACAAACCCTTGCTTTTTGATTAATTAAGTTTACTGTGATCTGAGATGGGCGCGTGTGGCGCAGTGGTCGGAGGCGCCCTGCAACGCACACCCGGAATCGATCACTGCGCCTATGGCCTACCAAGCCTTCCTTCTCTCCGGAGCCGGAAAATTGGTATCAGACTTGTCTGGGAGGATTGCAGCAGCGGTTCGATAAATCGGCAAGCCACCGCGAATCATTGCAAATGCTAGATATGCATTCAATCACCTCCAAACGATGCTTAATGAAACAGAGTGCATGATGCATCCCTCAGGGATTGATCAACGTCGAGAGCTTTATTCTTTATCCTTTATGATCTGGGATACGTGAATTTGAAGGCTAGAGACTAACATTATTTCTTATTTATGAATTGCTTGTGCGTTGATTTTCTTTTCCGTTGCAATATGTTAACATGATACGTGAAATAAATATAAGTTCATGCAGGACTTTTATATAAATCGAGTTTTATAGAATCTTTCTGTAAGAAAAAAAAACTACTGACGTAACAAGTCAACTTACTCTGAAGAAGCTACCGGCCACAGGATCCTTCAAGCCGTACTGGCTGACAAATTCAGTGGTGTTGAAACTGAAAGAATGGTTTTAAAAAAGAAAGAATGTTTGTGAGACAGTCTATCAAACTATCAATAGACGCTGTCTTGGTTGTTTATTGTGGCAGCGGAATAGATGGTATCGTTGTGAGTAAGCTATTGAAACAAGAAGATCATCTCCAACACAGTTAATGAGGATGAGACGATGCTCCACACTTGAATTCAGAATCATCACTTGACTAAACCTATAAAGAGACTTCGAGAAAGGTTGGTTGGCTAACCACCGACTTAAAGCTTAGAAATAACGGGTTTCATATCTTTTTTCCTTGAAGTAGTGCTATTTGTGTCTCCTGGGCCAGTGAACTGCATTTGGTAATTGTGGCTGGAAGCAGAATCGAAAGGAAATTGTACTGGTGCCGCCAAAATTATTCAGCTACTAGCAGAAATACAGCTTGTACAAGTGATACAGACCACGGTTATCGTACAATTATGGTGTAGGAGTAATTATTTTGATGTCAATCTAAAATACGCACAAAACTTACTTTGCTCTTGATTCCATCATTTTTATTGAAAGAGGCTTTGATTGTTTGAAAACCAATAGATAATATCTATGGAAACCTGAAGTGAACACGTATTCTTCTAAGTGGGTAAAGACTTCATGTTATTTTCTTACAAATTTTACATTCTGTCAACAACAATTTTTTCCAGAATGAAATTTGAGCATTTGTTGGGCGCGACGTACATTCAATTAGGGTGCGTCTGGCTCAGTGATTAGGTATGCGTTGGAATACATAGGTGATCGTTGGTTGGTTCGCTCACGCGCCACCGACTCATCAAGGTTTCCAGCCTCATAGGGCAGAAGAATTGGTAGAAGACATGTTTGGGAGGATATCAGCAGTGGTTTGATAGAACGGTGCCCCGCCGCAAGTTGTCATATAGGAAAAATATGCACTCAATCATATGCGCGATGCTCCGAATGTACCCGAATGCAAGAAGCATCGCTAAGGGATTGCGGAATGCCAAACGTTCTAACGCTTCTTTTAAGAAAAAACGCAATATCGTACCTGTTCCTTCAGGTGGACCAGGTCCAATATAGGAAGCAACCGTTTTACCACAACTTATTTCATTTCCGCGAACATTCACTACCAACCAGTGCAAGTAATCACGTAGATTTGGATTGGCTCTTGACGGTGCGTCAGGATCTGAAGTGAGTTTAGGATTATATGAAGAAAAAGTAGAGGAAATGAAAAATCAGTTGACGCATGGTAATAGATGGAGACGATATGTATTCTCTCACTGACAAGCCAACTTACGAAAGAATACATTGCTGATTAGTTGTGCCGATATTAAAATAAAGTCGGTTCTTGAAATAAAGTGGAATGATGGCTTAACTCATTCGCTTAATCAATTTTTTGTCTTTTTAGCGTTGTTGTTAGCCCTTTTTTATTTGTAATAACAATTCTGGTGACTATGACGAATTCCAAAGCATTCTGTAGCTGTGAATGCTAAATGTTTTTAAAAACCTATCATACTTTTGTCGTCTGCTTTGAGCTTTTTAGATTGGCTTCGAATTGATTTGAACTAAGTTTTCGAAACTATTAAACTGCAGAAAGAGATCTTCTAATTATCAATGAAGTCTTTTCAAGTCCTTCCAATAGTTTACCGCCTCAACGCTGCTGGGAGGTGTTTCTGTATGTTGGGATGCGATGTACAGCGGGACAATTTATTCCTTCGGCAGGGTATCCTAAGCTAAGAGGGAGCTTCCATCAGGAAGCCTAGCTAAGAGTAAACCAATAACAGGTTCCATAGCCGTCGTGGTATCAAACTAGTCGCATGGTGCCAAATCTCCCTCTGATTCAAAAGGGCTGGGACTGCCTGTAGTTGTGGGGAACTGGGACACATTTTGGCCAGGCTAACCTTGGGAATCTGGGTAATCATAATGGCTAAACCAGCAAATCTCCGGAGTAATGGAGACTCTGCTGGGACCCGCACTATCAGTGAGGGAGGGCCATCCAAGTATCCGGGCAAGTAAGCTTTTTAAGTGCTCTTTTAGAAGCTTTCGATTTGAATAGTTCCGGGGCTTGCTGTCTTGAACGAACATCTCACTAAAAGATATTTTAAATATCATTTGAGCCAATTTAAAGTAAACTTGAGAAACGAGTCGAGAACGGTGCCCATTCACTATTATCGTTCTAAATTCTATCCCAAATCTCTTTACATGTAGTTTTTCTCAGGGGATCTTTTTATGAATTTCCTTGTTCTCAAAAAAGGTGAGTTTCTGATACTCTTTTTAAAGTCTCACGCTTAATAAGTTAAAGGAAAGAACTATTTTGATGACTTACCGATCATCATAACAGTGTACAGTGAAGATCGGGAAGCTCTCCACTTCAGTGTCGGTTGTGAAGATGTAGCCGATGTGCTCAGTGTATTTCCAAGCCGCACCTGAATCAGATTTTCGAGAAAATAATATTAAACCATAGCCCTAAAAAAAGAAAAGTTGACAAAGAAGAAAAGGTTATTGAGCATCCAGTTTCATGTTCGGCTGGATTACTGGCTGGTCCGCCTCTGATACAGGGTTTAGCAGCATAGTAATTGTCAGCACAGAGTTATATTGCTGCTTACGAATATCGTTTTTGTGTGGAATTATGAGTTAACGTTGCTAAGGTGCTTTCACAATGCCACCACCTAGGTTATTCAGGTTTAATGAATTGAAGCAATCGTTGCTTATTTCTGCTAGATTACTTCCATGATAGAAGGATTCCTGACGCAGATTGACTAGTTTCAGAACCACTTACTCTTCTAAATGTCCCACTCTATTGCCATGGCGTCCATGTCACACCCTATGTTTGCTGAGTTGACACATGATTCCTACTACCGTATCTTATTATTTCACCCCAGAAGAGACGCTATCGCGGGAGTTCGATGGCAGACTCGAAGAACAAAGGAAAATTTCAGAGAAAGAAAATCGGCTGAATAAACAATATTCGTCAACATTTGCTGTTCAAACGATGTGACAAGTAGTATGCCAACTTAATGGAATACCTTAATTAGCTAATCACCTTTTAATGAGTGTAATCACCCTCGGGTGTTTTCAGTCTTGTGAACAGCCTTTTCCTGATTTTCTTTTGCAATTCCTTAATCTTATAAAAGCTGTGTTTATAAAGAAATCTTGTGAAGCGCTGAATATAGAAAATTTTGATTTTTTTAAATGAAAAGAGTCAATTTAGGCTTCGTAGTTTAATAAAGCAAATTTTAGACGCATCCGATCATCGCAGACTACCTAAAGCCACTAGATAAACTATAAATTTAGTAGGCGATAAAATTGAGATACCGTAAAATCTAGAGGGTAAATAAAGTTCTTGGTGTTGATCAATCCTTGAGGGATGCGCCATGCATTCGACTTCACTAAGCATCGTTTGGAGCTGATTAAACGCATATTTGGCTTTTACAATAACTCGTTGTGGCCACCGATGTGTCGAGCCAGTGTTGCTATCGTTCCATACAGAGGGATGGAGGGCTTGGTGGGCCATGGGTGCGGAAACCAATTCCGCGTGTGTGTTGCAGGGGGCCTCCGACCACTACGCCACACGCGCCCTAACGTAAAATTTAGGGAGACATCGCGCTCACCACCACGCCATACGGGTCCTTCGTTTCGCCTGTCTCTCAGCTAGCTCTGTCGATCAGCGCCTTCAGCAATCACCGTCAGGGGAATTGATCTGGCTAGCCAAAATCGGCAATGAACCTAGTTAACTAGTCAGCTGAGAGACATGAGAAACAAACGACCCACATGGTGTGGTAGTGAAAGTGTTAGCCGCCGGAAAGGGTAATAGCGCGTTCGTTCTCCATCGCAGACAGCTGCGGTGCGAAGTTTTGCAAATACCTCAGCACCATTGCGCTTGTGTCACACATAATACCCTGCCGTGAAAAATTGTATAGGTAGTAAATGAAAAAATTAACGTTGTAAAGTTGTTCGTTCTCAAAAATACGCTGCATTTTGTTTTCGAAAAAACCCGGATAAGAGTTACATTGCACAGCATATGAAGAATTCACCCTAGTATTCCGTCCATAGGTCGCTTGTAAAGGCATTGTTCCGGATTTAATGTAGCCCAATTGATCAGAACGAGAAGAAATGCTAAAACCGTCTCGTTACTTCAACTTAATAGCTCTTATGTCGAAAATGAAGAAAAATCGCACCGTTGAGACAGCAGGAGTAGGAGAGGAAGAGCAAGGTACATGTAACCCATTCTGAAATGCTAAAAATTTCTTTCCAAACAAATCAAACACTAAAACGTCTGGGGTATGAACGAGGCGAGGCAGTCTAAATAGTCGACATCCTATGACTTGTTAAAGTTTACCGCTGTAAAATCGTAAACAGAAAGGAAAACTTGTATGGTTATTATCGGCGCATTGCGAATGAATCGAAATGATGTGAAGGCTTAAGAGAACATTACGATTTTTGTACTTAGTGACCGACTTCGGTTAAGTGAGGAGAACGATCATTTTCTGGAACGGCTGTTGGCTGAATACACTGTGGTTAAACTCGAAAACATCATTGACTGAGTCGCTCTAGATTACTAGCATTATGCGACAGTAAAATCACAAAGTAAACTAGCTGCTCGATTGCCGTACAATGCAAAAAGTGTACGTGTAATCAACGAGCTCAAAAGCAGAACATTCTCGTCTTGTGTTCATCACCGTATTGAACAACACAGTATCGTAAAACAGCCAAAAGGAAATTTTTGGAAAAGATGGACGAGCTAGGTAAAAATATGGCTTGGAACGAAAGCTGTGGTCAGATTTGGTCCCGCTTCTACCACTATTTTTAACCTCTTTTCCCAAGAAAATTATTTATTTCGTTTTATCTATATGATCCGACAGTAAATATCTTACAGATCCTATCATTTCCTTCATTCGATTCGTTTTTCCCATCTACCAACCGCGAAGCAGATCGGATTTCGTTTGGGTTCCGCTACTGGTGCTTGATGATTACTTCATCAAGAACGTCGTTCAATGCTGGTACAGTCGATTCTACGCTGCAATTCTGCGACAGCCAGATTAGTATGTTCTAGGCCTTCAGCACAATAACAGTACCCGACTTTTGTGAATCGCAAGGAGCTTCACTAGCTGTGATTGGGATTGTTCCAGAACGTTGGTGAGTCCTTTGGTGACAAAGATTCTCCCAAGGCCGACTAGTACTGACTGGCCGATATAGGAGCCTCAGAGGTGTAGGATTTCAGAGGATTTCCATACTCATTTCACTTTTTCTGTTTTAAATGTTCAATCACGGAAATGCCGGATTATAGGCTCAATGGCTACGAAGTCCAGTTTTGAGTTTTGGTCTCAAAAATCTTTGAATGAGACCTGTTGGTTTGCATCCATTTGTTGGTTAAAGAGAGACAAAAATAAACTAAGCAAATATAGTACCCCAGTACAATGGATAATAATGATTTAGTGATAATGAATTTCAGGACAAAGTTTATTTTTTAATGTCAGATCTTTTTAAGGCTGGAGAAGATTTGAAAACCTTTTTAATTTTAGCGAGGAACAAATTAGTTGTGGTATTGCTTGGGCTAAATTTGTGATGATGTTGTCATGGTTGTGGTGAGCGTGGAAAAATAGGGCGGCAAAAGAATTGCCTATGTCGGTGAACTGCTAGACATTTTATAGTAACAACGAACAATAGAAAAGTCAAAGGTCAACAGTTAAGCGCCCGTTTTAAGCGGATAGTATTGGAACTGTTTGCTTTCCGTTTCATCAGACGAGTGGGCGATTCCATTGTTCGCTACGTCGGACTCAGGATATCATCTGAAATCACAAAGAAATGGTCGCCATTCGAAAGTTCAATCGGAATCATAACCGGTTCATATCCACTTCCGTGTTGCGCCCTTATTGAGATGATGGCTGACTGAACATGGGAAAGCAAACGACATGAGGCGAAATACTCGTAACATTAACCAATCTAGATGGAAGTTGCCTCTAATGACATCTACGCGATCTCTCCTGCTTTCATTTTTCCATTACCAATCCTCTAATCGATCCAAACAGTTAGATTGGTCCAGTGTATATATGAAGTTATGTATATTAATGAAACTCATGCGTTGTAATGAAGGAGTTCATTAATAAAGTGGTTCAGATGTCATAAATGTGCTATCATTGTATTATAAGATATTGTAGAGCTAACAAAATGCCGACTTCTTCAGGCTGGATTATCCGTTTAAAAAAATTATATTCAACGGATAATCGTATCAAAAACAGCCGCCCTGTATTGAAGAGCGTCGTCGGGGTGTTCGGCTAATTCGAGATGCTCAACTGAGGAAAATCCGGTTTGATGCGAGACGAAGATCCGAAATCGAGAAGAAGAGCAACTGTGGACCATCGACAAGTACCGTCGGCTCAGATGAAGACGAAGACGCCGACACGTTAGCCGAATAAACATCTCTAACAACCTCGCGTAAGCTCAACGATATAGAGAAACATGTTATTATTGTAGTACCGAGGTTGAATGACGGTCAGTTTCAAAATTATTACCTAATCATGGATCGAATTTCTAAACCAGGATGGCTCTTTCTTCCCATAATCTTTTCAATACAATATCATTCTTCAAACGCTTACAAACTATGAGGAGCGTTTGATCGTGGAGTGAGCAGGTGCTGCTGAACTCAGCTCAGCTATGCTACGTCTTCCATGACAACTTATATTAGCAGCTTCTATTCATTCTATGACGAACTACCTCTCTATCGCGATTCGCACACTTCTGGATTTAAGCAGTTTACTTTGCGTTCTGCTTTTAAGACAACTCAAACTAGCAAGTTTAAATGACCTTCTCATAAGTTAAACTAACTAGAACTTTACAAAATGCTCCACCACCAGAAGTCCACAAGATTTTAAGGAAGATCTGGACTCTTTGAGCTTCCCTGTAAGCAAAAGTTCTAACAAGAAATCCGCTAGTATTTCTTTTACCATAACACATTCCTCCTCTCGATGAGCAGTATGGCGAATGGGTGGTGCTCATGAATAAAGCACAACATGGTGAAATAATCCTAAATTCTTTAATCTGTTTTTCTCCTTTGTATTCTACATTTGAATTATTTGGATTACGAAAGACAGACGAATGCAGAAAATGAAATGCAAAACCATATGTAATAAATGGTGGGACACATTTCAATAACAATAACATGACTGAGCAGCATCTCTCCAGTGAAAACAATTTTTATGGCAACTACATTGACAAAAATGCTAGCCAGTAGGAAAAATTCTTTCTGCCACTTCTGTTCTTATTGGCGAATGATTGCGCTAGTTCGTCAGTTTTCGCTGATGTCGTAGATAAATTTTGAAAAAAAGTTTTTCAGCAAAAAAGTGAGCGCATAGCGCAGTGGTAGGAGGCGCCCTGCAATACTCAGGAAATTGCTCCCTGCGCCGCTGACCCACCGAGCCTTCCATCCCTCCTAGGTGAGCAAATTGGCACTAGACTTGTCTGGGAGGATAGCAGCACTGGCTCGATACATCGGTGGCCACAGCGAGTCATTGTAAAGGCCAGGTATTCATTCCTGCAACAATGCTTAATGAAGTCGAACGCATGGAGCACCCTTCAGGGATTGATCAAAGCCGAGAACTTTATCCTTTATTTCCAAAAATAGGATCAATTTTACGATCGTCAAGTGTAAATGCTTGATTTTCTGCTTTTCATTGTTCACAATATCTGTTATGAGATACATTTTTTCTTCATTGTGTGATCGAGTGGTATAAAAAATAATGTTTATGCACCAAATGCCTCACAGATGAATAAGTGCCGAGCCGATACAAAGCCCATTAGCTGTTGTGAAGATCTAAAAAGTATGCTCTATTATTCGTGAGACAACCACAGTGATGCTGAGATATTTGCAAAACTCCGGACAGCAGGCGTCTGCTGCGGGGAAAGAACACGCTTTTATCCTTTCCGGGAAGAACTAGCTGAGAGAAAGGCGAAACGAAGGACCCACATGGTGTGGTGGTAAACACGTTACGCCCCGGAAAGGACAATAGTGTGTTCGTTCCCCACTGCAGGCACCTGCGGTCCGTGGTTTTGCAAATATCTCAGCATCACTGTGGCTGTTTCACAAACAATACCCTGCCGTGAAAGCTAGTAAAAGGCAGTAAATAAAAAGGTCAACAGTGTGTTTATTAGTTAGAAGATGACGACATTTCATTAAGAATATAGAGGCTTCAGATGGAAGACTTTCTTTGGATGAGAAGTTACTCCCATTCCTTACTAGTCAAGAGTTGGTAAGCCCCAATGAAATCGTGCTTTTTATTCATTATGACGCTCTCTCAGCGTATTTGTAGCTCATTCATACATGTGTTATCATCACAGCATAAAATAAACCCACCAATTTGAAACGTTAGTAGACCTGCAGAAAAATGTAGACTTGATTCTTTTCTGGTAGAAATTTTCTATAAATCAAAAATCGTAACAAAAAATAAGAAGATTTAGTGCGATTAGCAAAGCATAATATTTGAGCGAAAGTATAATGAAGAACGAAGGAAATAGGAGGGAATACGAGAATTTCGTTGTCTAGATGGCCATTATGTCAAAATTCAGCAAGTTAATAGCAGGACGAATGAAAAAACGGATAAGCGATAATATTAGCTTCTGCACAGTATTGTGCCTCCTACCAACGGTTTACCGCCTCATCGTGCCTGCGAGGTGTTCTTGTATGTCGAGCTGCGATTTACTGCGGGGGATTCATCACCCCAGTAGGGTCCTAAAGCTGAGAAGGAGTTTGACGTTTTTATCAGAAATCCCAACTAAGGGTAAACCAATACCAAGATCCATCACCGCCCTGGTAACAAACTAGTCCCATGGTGGCAAATCTCCCTCTGATCCTCAAGGGTGGCGACTGCCTGTGGAGCTGACGATCTGGGATGGATTTTGGCTAGGCTAACCTTGGGACTTCGGGAAACCGCAATGGCTAAACCAACAAAACTCCGAAAAAATGGGAATTATACTAGAGTCTGCACATCTGGTGAAGATGGGCCAACCAAGAATCCAAGTAAGTACACAGGATTGTATAGTAAAAATCGTGTTGATGAAGTAGTCTTAATTCATAAGTGACGGAACTATAATTTTCATAACTGTTTTTTACACAACACTCATTAACTACTAAAGTCATAGCCGTTTATTTATATTCCTTGGTCTATGTCAGCCATCATTGTGATTACCAAAATAACAGGCTTCGGCTTGTTCTCTGGTTCATGGACACCTGTC